ACCGATTCAGAATCACTGCCCTGGGCTGTTCTCAGGTTTAGGTCACTTTGATGTTTGTTTGGTGCCCTGATGCTGGATAAGGGGCCCCTAAATGGGGTCTCGGTGGGGGAGGTGGAGGGAGCTCAGGTCTGTCTAGAAAGTCCAGTCCCACAGATGGCGTGGTACTGAGTTCATGAGAAGGTGACGGGAGCTCAGTCCCCTTGGCAGGCTTGCTGCCTCTCCCTCCTGGTCAGCCCACCCTCTCTCAGGAGATGACCACTGTCACGGTGATGGTGGTCTAGCTGGTTGCAGGGGGAGCGGGGCTTTGGACTTTTTGAGCCTTGATCAGATGTGTTATGGATATTGATCTGGGGCTTCTGTGTACTGCTCCCATGGTGCCTACAGGTGTCAGTAAAATCATTTAAGAATCTATTCCTAAACACACGAGCCTTGGGCTGTGCGATAGGGCACTGGTAGGATGACTTTGGGCTGCTGTCCTTGGACTCCTTCATTCTTCCTTATCTCTTACCCCAGTCTTGCTAATTGAATGATTCCTCAGGTTGGGAGCTGTTATCATGTGATTAAAATTCCTTGTACGTGCAAGTCACTATCTTTGTTTGGAAAAAAAAAAATAGCCTATCTCACTGATTCCCTCTATTTAGTAGGTGCTAATTTGTGTGAGTTCTTATGTCCTTGGAAACAACACCTGCTTCACATATTACAGACAACAAACTCCTCTATCTCACATTGAAATCAAGCCCTTCATATGGCACCTCTTACCTATAATAAGTCCTGAAGATCCACAGATGGGACAACTATCTGGCCACCTCCTGTCCCAGACTTCAAGGCGTCCTTGGGAAACAAATGATAGTGCCTACTGTTTACATTATACCCAGGCCCAGAGGGTCCACGCTCCTATGAGCCCAGAGCACAGATTTCACCCCCCATCCTGTACTTTCCACTGCCCATGCCGTCTTCCAAGAGAATGTCCACGCAAAGAGGACCAGACAGGAAAGGACAGACAGCGTAGCATGGGCACTGGGTGGTGGCGGTGGGAAGTTAGTGTTTAATGGGAACAGAGGTTCAGTTTGGGAGGTTGAAGAGTTCTGGCGATGGTCGGCGGGGGGGGGTGCACAACAGTGTGAATGTGCTTAGTGCCCCTGAGCTGTGCACTCAACGATGGGTAAAGTGGTAAATTGTATGGTTTGTGTATTTTACCACAATTTAAAAGAAACCTTGGGGTGCCCACATCTGGAGAAAGAGCGGAAGCACCACCTTTGCTCCCTGTGCTGACGTGGGAGGGTCCTGTTGGTGGGTGGGTGGGTGGCGTGGCGGCCCTGGGGGTCACGCGTGTGGGCTTCTTGGCGGGGGCTGCGCCTCTGACTGTGCGGGAACCAGGCAGGACCGCACGCCTGTGCTTAGCAGAGGGTTTTCTGTAGTTGGGAGGCAGCGCGAGGCCTGGGTCTGTCCCTTCCTAAGGAGTGTGTTCTCCCACAAGCAGACGGTGACATGCCCTCACGCTCTGCCCGCAGGTGACCTACGGCTCCTTCGACTACACATCGCTGCTGTACCTCTCCGACTACCTGGATGACTTCGGTGGCGGGCGGTTTGTGTTCATGGAGGAGGGGGCCAACAAGACGGTGGAGCCGAGAGCAGGTAGGACTCACGGGCGGGCCTTTCCCGGGATGCTGCGCTTGCGGTGTGTCCAGTGTGTCCATGGAGCACATTTGTCAGAGGAGGAGGTGGGCGTGGCCACAGTCACTGCGTCACTGCAGAGTGAGTTCCCGGAGCCAGCCCCCGCTCCATCCCCTGTAGTGACTCAGAAGCTTAAGACGACGAGGCAGTGATCCTCACCTAATGTCGGTAAACCGCACCAAGCACAGGGACCTGCCTCCCCGACCTGGTGGTCCCAGAGCTCCTGCTGCCCCCAGCCCAGCTCGGACACTCAGTGCTGCTCAGTGAGCATGCGTGGAGCGAGGAGGGGCGCGGATCCCCCGGGGGCTTCCTGAGGGGCAGCCCAGGCCCCGGCCCAGCCCCAGATGAGACTCAGAGACAGAGCCAGGCCATTTGGCTCTGGCCTGGGCACCTCGACTGTGCCAGCAGCATTCACCTGCTGCCGTGGCTCACCTGACCCCACTGCATCACCCTGCTTACCGGGTGTGTAGCTGTGTCTGCCTCTGCCTGGCAGCAGGCAGCTCAGACCAACGAGGCTGTCCACCTGTGTTGGTTTAGAACGTTCCCGTTAGCCATGAGGCAGTCCTGTAAGCCACTGAGTCCAAATGCTCCTTGCAGTAGTGCTGAATCCACGCAGAAGTGGCTTGGACATCAGAAGGTGTAGAAAGGAAGTTAAACAGCTCAGGACTGGCTCTCTTCCCTCAGGGGGTGAGTGCTGGAGGCGGGCAGACCCAGGCGCAGGTCAGTGGGCAGGAGGGTCTCAGAACGCCCTGCAGCTCCAAGGCTTTAATGAACCAAGGGCCAGAGAAACTGCTGGTTCTAAGGCTGGGGGTCACATGTCACGTGCTTCTGGGAGGTGTCCAGGAATACTTGTGGACTAAGAGCAGAAATACAGGTGGGTTCCAAAAACTGAGACGACTGTATTTTTGGTTACTAAGTTGCCGAGCTAAATCCCGCTTTAAAGAAGTGCGTGATAATCTAATAGCTGTTTACTGAAGCAAATAAAAAGCCAGAAAGCACCGTTCATGAATGCCGAAAGTTTCACGTTTCTGGGGTTGGGTGGGCCGTCGCCTCCGTGTGAATGTTACGCCTTGTAGGGTGAGTTACCAGCGCCGGCCTGCTGGTCACTGCGCAGGTGGTGATTTCATGCCAACGGTTTCCTCCTGGTTCTGATGACTGGCGGCCTGCCCTCAGGTTCTTCCTGGTGTTTGTGTTGTGCCCATCATTGTCTTGCTCACTCTGGACTTGGGAGCTGTCAAAATAGGTGTGGGACTTAACTACTGGTGCATTAAAAAGGAAAGAAGGTCGTAGGCAAGATTGTGAGCCCTTGTGGGCCTTTCCTCAACAAGCTATCACGTTGACGTTGGGTTGGGTCAGCAGATTCCCGTTCCGGGTCAACAGGACGAGAGTCACCAACTCTGTCCCATCCGCACAGATGTCACAGGGAGCCTGGCGTTTGGCGGGGAGCGTGATGCAGCTGCTCTGACAGGCTGTGCCAAAGGGGTTATCATTTTCCCTAGAAGAGTTCGTTCTCTCTTATGGAAATTAACAGGAGAATATGCTGAATGTTTTCAGTTTTCCCACTTACTCACTTTCCAGAGCCCTCTGTCCCCTCCTGTGCATCCAGGTTTCCAACAGGTACATTCCCCTTCTGCCTCTGCATTTCTCGGAGTGCAGGTCTGCTGGTGATGGTTTTTCTGAAAATGTCCGTCCTTCACCTTTTTTTCTAAAGGATATTTTCACTAGATGTGAAACTCTGGATTGGTGGTTTTTTCCCTTTTTCTTTAAAAGCGTCGTCCCTTTCCTCTGGCTCCCCTGTTGCTGTCACCACTGTCACTGCCCCATAGTAGCTGCCTCTTTGCTCTGCCACCTCCAGGATGTTCTCTAATCTCTGGTTTCATCAGTTTGACTATGATGTGCCTCAGTGTGGAGTTGTTTGTTATTTATCCCACTTGGAGTATTTATCCTGCTAAGCTTATTGGATTACAAGTCAAAGTTTTCATCACATTAGGGAAAGTGTTAGTCATGATTTCTTCAAATCACCTTTTGCTGCCCCGGAATGAACCTCTCCTCCCTCCCAGGTCGGGTGTCATTCTTCAGCTCGGGGTCCGAGAACCTGCACCGGGTGGAGAAGGTTCACTGGGGCACCCGCTACGCCATCACCATCGCCTTCACCTGCGACCCCGACCATGGCATCGCGGACCCAACGCTCACGTAGCCCCGGGAGGCCTGTCCAGCAGCCCTGCAGGGAAGCAGCCACGCTGGACACACACCCCTTCCCTCTCGCTCAGCCCATTCCCACTGAACAAGGTGCCTTACGAATCATCCTGAATTTTGATTTGCTAACATTGGATCATTTTTCAACTGTGAGTAAATGGAGGGAACCAACCGGTTTCCCCTCACAAGCATCAGCGTGGGCTTTGCTATGCTGATGTGGGGCCCGGGAGCTGGCAGGGCCACCATGCCCTCCTTTTCTCAGGAAGGGATCCCGTGCCCAGGGTGGAATCCCCGTTTGTCAGCAGACAGAGGGTCGTTACCCGGCCACTGGAGACCGACTTAAGTGTGGATGAAGCTGAGTGGGGCCAGCACCCTCCACTCGGGGAAGCAGAATCAGCATTATGGCACCTTGGAGAAGGTTCCGGGGGCAGGCGGCTCTGGGAGCAGCAGCTGGAGGGCTGGGAGGGCTGATACTGCTGGATTCTGGGTGGAGGCAAACATCTGATGTTCTGGCGGCTCTGGGCAGAGCCCCCAACACTGCTGGCCACTGAGAGTCACCCTAGCACCATGTTCATTCCAGGCTGGGCTCTGCCTCATCACCGGCCAGGGTCCCTGACACAGGGTCCGAGGGTGTTCCCAGCGTGGCCATCCGCAGCTCGCCTGGGGCCTTCTGCCCAGCTGAGGGTCCGTCTGCTCAGGTTCAGGTCTTAGCAACCCTCTTCTCGTCCTGGAGCTGTCCATGCCTTTTACATAAAAGTAACAGTCAGGGGAGCCAGGAATAGTAAATAAACTGGTCATGGGGAAAGCCTGGGTAGCACGGCCCCAGGATAAGGGCGGCATGTCCATCAGTTGGCTTCTGCCAGGGTCGGGCAAGGTCCCAGGGCCGCCCCACAAAGCAACTGGCCTGGGGTTTGGGCGTCTTCTGGGAGAACAGCCGATCACCCGCTGTGAGTGCAAAGGGATCCCCAGAAACGCCTCTGGGAGCAGGACTCTCCCAGCCACCCTGACCCAGGAGTAGCCTCAACACTTTCCCCTTCGCCCACCCAGCATGGACCTGTGGACACGGCCACCGCAGCCCCACATGTTCCCTACTACACCCTGCAGTCACCCTGCAGCTGCTTGGGCTCATACAGAAAGGGGCAGCATTCCTGGACCCTGGGATGAGCCATTTGCGTGGCACCTGAGGAGGCTCCATGAGGGTCTGGAAGCCAGGACCCCTGGGTCCGCCCCTTGGTTTGTCGGGTGTCCCTTCTGCACCGTGGTGATGATATGCGTGTCTCAGGGCTGTAGGGGCCGAGCTTCCACGTGCAGACAGTGGCTTGGGATCTGCTCCCTTCTGGGTCATGGTTGCAGTTTCCAGAAAGGCGGGGCCACCACCCACATGATGGCCTGGATCGTGGTTCCTGTTTTTAAAGGACTTTGGGCAGATCTGGGAAGGATGAAGCCCACGCTCTGGGTGGCGGGCAGGGCTGACCTTAGGGTTGGCGATGCTTTGGGGACACTGTCGGCAGGCTGGACCAGCCGGCCTCAGTCCTGTGCAGGAAAAGCTACCCCCTCCCGTCCAGGTTGTCCTCTGGCTTCTCCTGTCTTGGCTTTTCAAAGGTTTGTTGCTCTGGTCTCAGGTTGAGATGTGAATTCCGACAGGAAAGCCCCGTGCAGGCCTCACTTTGTTCTGTAATCTTCATGTTATCTGAATGACGCCTTACCCTCGGTGTGAGGACGGGCAGACGTTCTCGGGTATTCCACAGCCCACGTGGCCACTCACTACATCTAAGGAGGGGGGTCTGATGGTTTAGTTGTGGTTGAAGTGCTTTGGAAATAAGTAAGTTATTGGTTTTAATTGACATTCTTTGCTACTTACCCTGTTCATAATCATCACAGAGGTACTTGGACAAAGAAATAAAGATATTTGGGCAAAAGCAGGAAT